GGGGCGAGTTCATTATATCAGAAGGGGTGACAGGTGGGGCGAGTCAATTGCATTGGAGGGGTGGCAGGTGGGAGAAGTCCATTGCAAAAAAGGGGTGACAGGTGGGGAGAGTCCATTGTATCGGAAGGGGTGACAGGTGGGGCGAGTCAATTGCATTGGAGGGGTGGCAGGTGGGAGAAGTCCATTGCAAAAAAGGGGTGACAGGTAGGGCGAGTCCATTGCATTAGGATGGGTGACAGATGGGGCAAGTCTTCTAATTATCCCACTTTGGTTCAGAGAACAGGAACTGAAGAAATTGTTCTGTTTTACCCCCAGAAATCAAATGTTTGGCCAGTTTCTGGCGTATTAATTTTAAAAACTAACATGCTTTAAGCTTACATCAGAATCATCCCACCTTTTCATTATTACGTTCAAATATCTTATTAGGTATTTATACAAAGAATAGGCCGTCCCAATTTAAACAATTCACGATAGTAAAAGCCAAACCCCGTCAAAATGGGATCCTCCCTATATAAGAAAATATAGGAAAAATATGTCCAGACGAATAGGGTCCATATGCTATAGAACAAAAATCTCATGTGAATTTTTTAAAAACCAGGATTGTAAATTCATAAAAATTTGAACTATAAAATATAGGTTGTTGGAAACCATTTTAGATATTTTATTAACAGATCAAATTAAATTTGAAAGTCCTCAAACATTAAAAATAACTTATTTTCCTTAACATAATAATTTCATAACAAAGTGAAAAATAAAACGCCAAATTACAAAAGTTTTTATTGAGTTTTCATATAACAGATGTACGGAGGAGCGTGGGTTCCTGTGTGTGAAACGAAGGCTAGACTTCATAGGTTGCTTTCAGGCGGGTGCTGTGCAGAATCTCGTTGAGCTCCTGAAAAGATAAAATAATGTTTACAGCTTTGAACTAAACAGACAGGCTCTCTACATTCTAATAATGCATGTAATATCACAGCGGAGAAGGCACATATAAATGGAATGGCGTGCACGTTTATTAACTAGTCTGATGTTCAGGTTCAGCAAGCGAAAAACCAAAATTGTGATCTGAAATTATTCAATGATAGAACTATTTGAGGCCTCTTGTTAAAAAAGTAACACTGATAGCACATCCCGTTTCATTTGCAGGGTGGGTGAGGTTATTTCGACGACCGTTAATATATTCCTCTTGATATTAAAAGTTGTATCACCTGTTGTAGTACATATTAACGCATTTCAGAGAAAGAGATCTTTTATAAATTCTGTTACATTTAAACATACACGACATTTTAAATTAGGTCAAAATATTCTAAAATAATTGCTAAGGCCGGGGCACAAAAAGTGTTCAAACAGAGGGTTACAAAGTGCAGAAGATTTCAAGCAAACTTAGGTTATCATCAAAAGTCAGATGAAGGCGCCGTTTATCCTGAACATTTGGAGTCCCAATGCACCGTAGGCAATAATTTCTACCATTCTTAGTGACATACAAGTAACAATGGAAATATAGTAAAAGGATTCATGTCATAAATATTTGTCGTAAACATTTTTCTCATTCTTCTGCGCCTTTAGTATTTAACGGCTGTGGTTGATGAAGAAATAATGATACTCACAATTAGGCCTAAAATATACATTTGCTTCCACGTCTTATAAAAGCTTGACCTTCTGACTGCACCACACATACTGTGCGTCTACTCCCGACTCTGTCTAACTGCCAAGTGAGCATTCGGGAAGACAGCTCCCACTACGATGAACAACTTATTGTTATGCAAATAACAACAGGTAGCCTATAGCTCATTTTATGTGAGAGGTCAGGCCCGTAGCCGGGGGGTTCGGGGGTTCGACAGAGCCGCCCCTTTTGCTGGGAAAAGGTCCACTCTGGGTAAAATTTGATCTAAGTACACGAAATTTTTCTAGGTACATGAAGTTTTTATGGGAAAAGGTCCACTTTTTCAGAAAAGAACCCCCCCTTTTGAAAATGCTGGCTACGGGCCTGTAGGCTGTTACTGAAACTGTTCACGAATGTTTAATAAACCCGTTGATGATATCTTCGCAGAACCAGGTGATATCTTCGTGGAACCAGGATTATTTGANAAAAAAGGGGTGACAGGTGGGGAGAGTCCATTGTATCGGAAGGGGTGACAGGTGGGGCGAGTCAATTGCATTGGAGGGGTGGCAGGTGGGAGAAGTCCATTGCAAAAAAGGGGTGACAGGTAGGGCGAGTCCATTGCATTAGGATGGGTGACAGATGGGGCAAGTCTTCTAATTATCCCACTTTGGTTCAGAGAACAGGAACTGAAGAAATTGTTCTGTTTTACCCCCAGAAATCAAATGTTTGGCCAGTTTCTGGCGTATTAATTTTAAAAACTAACATGCTTTAAGCTTACATCAGAATCATCCCACCTTTTCATTATTACGTTCAAATATCTTATTAGGTATTTATACAAAGAATAGGCCGTCCCAATTTAAACAATTCACGATAGTAAAAGCCAAACCCCGTCAAAATGGGATCCTCCCTATATAAGAAAATATAGGAAAAATATGTCCAGACGAATAGGGTCCATATGCTATAGAACAAAAATCTCATGTGAATTTTTTAAAAACCAGGATTGTAAATTCATAAAAATTTGAACTATAAAATATAGGTTGTTGGAAACCATTTTAGATATTTTATTAACAGATCAAATTAAATTTGAAAGTCCTCAAACATTAAAAATAACTTATTTTCCTTAACATAATAATTTCATAACAAAGTGAAAAATAAAACGCCAAATTACAAAAGTTTTTATTGAGTTTTCATATAACAGATGTACGGAGGAGCGTGGGTTCCTGTGTGTGAAACGAAGGCTAGACTTCATAGGTTGCTTTCAGGCGGGTGCTGTGCAGAATCTCGTTGAGCTCCTGAAAAGATAAAATAATGTTTACAGCTTTGAACTAAACAGACAGGCTCTCTACATTCTAATAATGCATGTAATATCACAGCGGAGAAGGCACATATAAATGGAATGGCGTGCACGTTTATTAACTAGTCTGATGTTCAGGTTCAGCAAGCGAAAAACCAAAATTGTGATCTGAAATTATTCAATGATAGAACTATTTGAGGCCTCTTGTTAAAAAAGTAACACTGATAGCACATCCCGTTTCATTTGCAGGGTGGGTGAGGTTATTTCGACGACCGTTAATATATTCCTCTTGATATTAAAAGTTGTATCACCTGTTGTAGTACATATTAACGCATTTCAGAGAAAGAGATCTTTTATAAATTCTGTTACATTTAAACATACACGACATTTTAAATTAGGTCAAAATATTCTAAAATAATTGCTAAGGCCGGGGCACAAAAAGTGTTCAAACAGAGGGTTACAAAGTGCAGAAGATTTCAAGCAAACTTAGGTTATCATCAAAAGTCAGATGAAGGCGCCGTTTATCCTGAACATTTGGAGTCCCAATGCACCGTAGGCAATAATTTCTACCATTCTTAGTGACATACAAGTAACAATGGAAATATAGTAAAAGGATTCATGTCATAAATATTTGTCGTAAACATTTTTCTCATTCTTCTGCGCCTTTAGTATTTAACGGCTGTGGTTGATGAAGAAATAATGATACTCACAATTAGGCCTAAAATATACATTTGCTTCCACGTCTTATAAAAGCTTGACCTTCTGACTGCACCACACATACTGTGCGTCTACTCCCGACTCTGTCTAACTGCCAAGTGAGCATTCGGGAAGACAGCTCCCACTACGATGAACAACTTATTGTTATGCAAATAACAACAGGTAGCCTATAGCTCATTTTATGTGAGAGGTCAGGCCCGTAGCCGGGGGGTTCGGGGGTTCGACAGAGCCGCCCCTTTTGCTGGGAAAAGGTCCACTCTGGGTAAAATTTGATCTAAGTACACGAAATTTTTCTAGGTACATGAAGTTTTTATGGGAAAAGGTCCACTTTTTCAGAAAAGAACCCCCCCTTTTGAAAATGCTGGCTACGGGCCTGTAGGCTGTTACTGAAACTGTTCACGAATGTTTAATAAACCCGTTGATGATATCTTCGCAGAACCAGGTGATATCTTCGTGGAACCAGGATTATTTGAAGGGGGGTCCGAGGATGAGGGGATGAGGGGTCCGAGGATGAGGGGATGAGAGGTCGACAAAAATACAAATCAGCTAGCGAGTATGATGTCTAACGTCTCAGAAAATGTCTATGTTTATGTTTATTTCAATAACGCTAGACTAGAACTAGAACAGTGGATTTGTCAACATTAAGGAAGAAATAGAGCAAAAACTCTCTCCACCCCCCCCTCTCCAAATCCTGTTCCCAGGAGTGCTTTTTTGAAATCTTTAAAGCTGAAATTGGGGGCTTTAATGAAGTGATCCGGGCGCGTTTCCACATTTTTTATGAATGACAGGTGTGGTGGATTGATTTTAGTCACATTTCGGAAAAATCGGAGACGGGTCGATCCTGGGTGATTTTGAGTGATTTTCATAAAGTCCGGATATAGCAGTTTTCTTCAATTTTGGCCAGATAGTGTTGAAAAATAGATTGCGGCTACATTTGTGGTGTCACCTGGCTTTTAAAAATTGAAAAAATTCGTGACATGTTTTGCTGTTGTTAATTATTTTTAGTTGTTTGATGTTTTTGAATTATTTTAGCCATTTAAAGAATCTTCGATTCAGTTACATAACTTAGGCCTACATCCACGATTAGCTAGACGATGTGGTGACAGTACACAGTCAATTTGCAAAACCAGGTATTGCGAAATAATATACTTGAGGTTGAGAACAATGCGAGTCGGCAAAATAAATATGCATGTCATAATTCCCCTTTAGGGCTGTCTAATTTTTTAAATTATTAATAACGTGCAAATATTATCCAAAAGGGTTGCTATTTTAAAACCTCCTTTACTGAAAACGAAAACTGTCCATACTAGCAAGGCAAGAATCGGGGAATATTTGCATTATTACACAAAAAAAATGTAGATTTATCACTTTCCATCACAACAGGTTTAGAAAAAGTTGAATTCGCATCCCCCGGACCCTCCTTCCTGATAATCAACACCCCCGGTAGAAACGCGTTTCACAATAAAACGTCACTGTCATTGTTTAGGCGGTTCTACACCACACGATTTATTCAGGTGTCTTATATCACTCCCTTAAATTCCTCCCCAATTTTGATCGCAGAAAGTTATTCAGTAACAGCCAAAACTATGTCAAGGTATTCTGTTACAGACAAAACTATGCTCTGTCTATGCAGGAAATTATATCCGATATAATTCCCTGGTCTATGCCTACATACAAAATTTCTGAAGCTGAACAACGTGTCATACGGCTTACATTACGGTCTTGCGTTGTTATTTGATGACTTTTTAAAATTAATATACTAAATTATAATTTATATAATATTAGATTAAAATCCTTCTGTCCACGTATTAAAAAAAAAAAAAAAAAAAAAAAAAAAAACTCGGGGGGCGGGGGCGGGTTAAATCAGAAAACTAACATCTCTCTAGGAAATCCTGGATCCGCCCCTGTACGTTGTGGGAGATGGATTGTATCTCTTTCTATTTCCCATATTGCACACACCTGTGGTCCACCTGAGCCCAAAATCTCTTTGCCTACTTCACAATCACATTACTCTACTTTAGAAATTCCTTAGAATCAAAATTTAATGTGCGTTCATGACTAGCTTCTTTAATTATCATGTGACAAATATCAAGTTTCTTTGGCATTATTTAGAGGGTGAAAATAAAGTGGGACAACTTTTGACTCATTTTTTAAAGTGGTGACTGAATAAAAATGACAGACATGGTGTACCGGTAACTAAAACTCGAATAACTTTTAAACTAAATAAGATATATAAGATATTTAAATGACTTATTCATACTCAGATACGTAGCTACCTGTGTGTTAAATTTCAAGTCTCTAGCTTATTACAAAAATATATATATATATATCCGTGGACCCAATGCTTAGAAAATCTTGTTTGATTCTTTATATAATTCCACATTTTCGATATGGTCAACGATTGTAGATGTCTATTAGGCACATTGCGACTGGAAGTCAACGTTGTCATAATTAAAACTGCTATTCACTTTTCACTGTTCAGGATGTTTTTTTTTAGCAGTAGTCTGACTTTGTGGGAATTCCCAAATGACGTCATTTTAAAAAGTCTCAGCGCATGCGCATTGCAAGTAGAGCTTTATGGACATGCGCATATGCGTTTAAAGTCTGTGTTGACCCTGACCCACCGTGACCTCTTGGATGGTAACAAAATTAAGAATGTATTCAGGCACGATCCTTTAACCTAAGAGTGCATGAATAGAAATGAATCGTTCTTAAATTATTTTGTGTAAAATGTATGACAAGTATTATTTTCATTGATAAATTTATGTGATCTAGAAGGGATTGAAGCACAAAAAATATGAATTACTGTTACAGAAAAATCTCAATTTTATAATAACCCTGACAAAATTATTTTTGGGACTTTTCTCAGATCATAATTATTCTCAAGAAAAATTCCCTTACAGGAGAAAGGACGAGAGATCGGAGGCTGATCTTAAGCAAGTATTGTGCATAAACCGTTCGGGTATCCTAACATCCAGAAAACGGAACTATATTCTACGATAAGAAGGACAAAACTGGATTGTTTACAAGACGAAATTGCGAAATAGCAATAGCTCAACCGCAAGATACAGCACTAAGTTTTGAAAATGGAATCAGCAACAAGTGTCGATTCTTCCTATCCTGGACTTACAGCTAATCGACAGAAAGTTAGTCAACAGCACCCCAAAACAGTTTTTACGAACATTAGTCTACCGTCGCTGAGTTCAACGCCTTTTTTAACGTGTTAGACTAGACGCAAATATCCTTTGCAAATCTGACTTGGTTGACGTTTAGGAACAGATAATCTGTCATTACATCTTTTCATCCAAGGTCGGAGAAAATTGACAAATTTTGTATTTGACCTGGACATCAATTCATCAGCTTCATCAACTTTGTTTGGCTTAAATTAAGGTACATTTTTTACAATATTTGTGCTTATAATCGCCATGAAGCTCTTGGAAAATCCGACGTTTGACGCCATTGGTGCAGCTCTCTCCGGAATTGGAAGTGGAATAGAAGCAAGGTAAGAAAATACTTAAATAATTATGATGTTAAGAAGAAGAATGATTATGATTTAACAGAAATGCCCTATTATAATTGATAGTGATAGTTAGTATTGTTGCTGTACGCAATTTAAGCTGTTTTTTTTATTTTGTTATGCATGTCCTTTATATATAAATCAAATTTTGTGATGACGATAAACAATTTTTATTCAAGGACCACTTCTGGACCTGCAAAAATAATTACACGGGGGCCTGATTAAATGAATAGATCACTAAACAAACAAACAAAAAAAAAAAATACAGATATATTTGCCATAAAACAGTTCCACAATATAACTTGCAACTTAAATGCATTTTCAGACTGGAAAGTTACTCCTGTAAGATGGCAGGCAATGACAAGAAACTGTTCAAGGATCTTGTTCATGAGGGAGGTTCCCAGCCTAATGACCTTCAGGTTCTGTCTCCCCCTGAGACTGGCTTGCCACACAGTCCAACCAGGTGATTTATTTTTCAGATTTAAAAAGAAAAAAAGGAAAAAGCTTTTTTATCTAGATGCTTTTTATCTACCTGTTTCAGGTTTTTTTAAATTCCGTTCTTTAACTTTCAAAACTCATTATTTGAAGCAAATATGCAAATAACACATTATAGGGCGGTTAAAAAATTCTTTTATAATTGTCAAATAATAATAATAATAATATTTGGAAAATCTCACAGGCATAGACATGAAGTTCTGTTTTAAAGATCATGAGCAATCAATTCATAAAATGTGGAAACAATAATCTTTGCGCCACCTGTAGGCAAGGTTGAATACATTAAGGCACTTGTCCCAGTATTAATTTATTGCTAATTATGTTTGTGTAACTGGAAAGATATGCTGGCTAGGTGCCAGGTCATCAAGGATATTTACTTCAGGTTAAGGCAGTGCTATATAGACCTACCTGACTGTAACTCAACACTATTGCTAGTTTTGTGGAAAGTTAGACAGTTTTTAATAGATTTTTGCATTGGAGTGACCCTGGTCGATACTGGTCCTTGATGTTATGCAACAGTGTATGGTTTTGTCCAAGCATTTGTTTGATTAAGGTCAAATATGAAGTACAAACACCACTTAGTATGCATTATAAGAAGCCAGTGCCAGGTTGACTGACAACGATGGTTCACAACAGAATCCAAAATATTCACCATAAGCAGTACATAATTTTTTAGCTAGGACAGCCAATATATATATCCTGCATTTTAATTATTATTACCCTACATAAGAAATTTTTGTACATGGTCAAAATTACTGTACATTAAAAGAATGTAGTCCCCTTCTTCCCAGCCAGTTTTCATCCATTCCAATGAAACAGTCTTCAGCTTAAATATAAGTTGACTGGTTATTGTAAAATCATTTAGTAGTAATGTACAGTTTAACATAATTTTTCTGTTTCTTACTCCAGACAGTACAGCCGCAGTGTGAGCAGTGATGATGGGCAGGGAATCCTGTGTGACACCATCAGTACCAAGACACTGTTCTATCTCATCTCTACCCTCAATGCCTCCTTTAATCCCGACTATGACTTCAGCAAGGCAAAGAGTGACGAGTTTAGCAAGGTGCCCAGCTTGCAGGTAAAGTTAAAGAAGATTTTACATGAGAGCAAGGGTTTTTCCAGCAAACAGGCATCACCGGATGGCCTATATTTTCAAAGATGGCTTGATGGCTGATGGATTTTTTGGAAAAAATGAGGGGTTTAGGCATACCTGGTCTCCCTGAAATTTTGTAGCAAATTACAGGTGGTAATTTTGGACCACCTGTACCCCCAATCCTGGGAAAAGCCCTGCATGAGAGGAGAAAAATTAGTCTAATACTGGACTTATGAAATAATAAAGCAATGTTCAACATTGCAGTAGGTACCTCATATCTACAATGAGATGTTCAAATCAAGTTATACTAAAAGAAGTAATTGATTAATGGAAGAATCTCATCAAAACTGTACAACTTACATTATGATTGATATGCCAATGCTCTGTTTTAACTTGACTTGTTGTATATTTGACACTCTAACAAATTAACACATATTTTATTGATAATATTTTGTTTTTAGCCATGTTAAATGTATGAATTGTAATGAATACATATGTTACAAAGGTCACAAGAAAGCTACAGATGGTGATGGAGATGGAGGTCTCATCAACCCAGCTGGCAAATAGAAATGTGTCCCCTTTTCAAATGTCAACTCTGTTCTTTCTTTTCTTTGCAGTGGGTCATAAACTCAGTTGAGAGTCAGCTGGCGGCGTCCCTGGATAACTTTCACACTCTCAAATCTCAGCTGTGGAAGGCCATTGACGATGAGATTAAGCTGAATGAGTGTGATATTTATAGGTAGGCATGGGAAGAAGAAAAAACGAGGGATGTTGTGTTGATGTATATTTATTGTTACCTGATAAAGGTGTGATGATATAGTGCTGTGGTGTGATGTGCACCTGATGAAATGTGCCCTAGTAAATCTTACTTCAAATCAGGACTGACTTGGACCAAATGTAGAATATATTTGATATCACTACCCTTTTCTGTCTGGGTCTCTGAAATTAATTGCACAGAGATGCTGCATCTTCTGTGTATTGCAACTGCCAACAAAAACAGGAATTTTCTTTATGAACATAAATATGAACACGTACACTTTAAAGGCATGTTAAGAGTACTGTATAATATTGGCTTGACTAATTTGAGAGGTTGACAACTTAATAGCCTGGCTATTACCTAAGAGAGTCGCCATTAAGGGGCTCAGTGCAGCCAACTGATTAACTTAATGATATGAAACAAACTTTTTGAGAATTGTGAAAGGGAATAAAATGCCCTATGGCATAATTACATGTCAGGACCTGTCAAAGTAGGCTGGTGCAGTTAAGTATATGGTTCAATGTGAAGAGGACCTAACATCTTTTAACATATATTACAAACCTTTTTCCATATCAAAGATCTTATGTATAAAAGCTTATAAGATGTATAGGCAGTATAGCTCTGTAATATTATTGTAACGGATTGGTATTGGTCCAGGATCTTTTGTTTCAAATCTCATGGCTTCTTTGCAGCTATAACCCTGACCTGAGCTCAGATCCATTTGGTGAGGAAGGATGCATTTGGAGCTTTAACTATTTCTTGTACAACAAGAAGCTGAAGAGGATTGTCTTCTTGTCATGCAAGTGTAACAGGTATGTGATTTATTTATTTATTTATTTATTATTTTTCTTGCTTTTGGTCATACGACTCTTCAGACAGGGTTTCTGATGAATGTGAATTATAAAAAAACCCTACTAGGGGTGTTGAAACCTATAAAATTGCGTCAGCTTCTGTATTTCAGACAGAAGTTTGCCAACTTTGACTGAATAAAGTTTATAGCCAGCAGTATGGAGATGACTAAAAAGAATTGTGTGTTATATATTATTTCCCTTATTTCAGCCAGCAGTTGGCTAACTGTGACTAGGGGGTATGGTCAAAAGGGTAGAGACAACTATAAAATTGTACGAGATGTGTATTATTCCCTTTATTTCAGCCACCAGTTAATTAACTATGGCTAGGGGCTATGTTTAAAAGTGTAGAGACACCTATAAATTGTGTTATATATAATAATTTCCATTATTTCAGCCACCAATTTGCTAACTTTGACTCGGGCTATGGCCAGGAGTTCAGTATGGAGATGTCAGGTGATGATATGGAATATACTGAAGAGGAGAATTGAATGATACTCAGTCAGGTATGACATGGAATATTGAAATAGAAAAAGGTTGCCTTTAAATTTCTTTAGCTAAGAGATAAGTTAATTTCATTGAGTTCAGTGTTAGTATCGTGATATCATTCTGAATTATGTAGTTATATCCATATGTACATTTTCACCAGTATGTACTGGTGCGTAAGATAAATAGATTCTTCTCCTTCTTAGAAAGTCTTCTGCCCTGTAAAACAGAATTACTTTGAAGTAGAGATTGGTCACTTTGTGAAGAAAAATGATAAAGATACGAGGAATATAATATGAAGATATTGCATTAGGTACCGATACGATTTACCCTAATGTAATGTTTTAGAAAATGATAAGGGTATTGTTTTATTGATGAAGTTTAGTTGATATTATTGCATGATATCAAGACTTGTTGTGAATGTGTTTTTCTAGGCAGTAAATAGGTTCATGATATTAAACATTTACATTTTGAATGCTATCTTTTCAGAACAGTGAACAACAAGCATGCTCAGCAGATGTACAAGTGTTGATGGAAGCACAGTCCATTCTCTAAGAACTTCACAGAACAAAAACTTACAGCGATACATTGAAGATAATCTGCAGCATAGAGTTTTGTATTATGCATGCACCTTTTACTCATAGCAAATCACTTATATGTGATTGTGGAAATGGTTAACTTTGTTTCTGTATTATTAGAAAAAAGACAAAAAAATCAGACATGCATCGGTTGTGTTTTGCTCTGGCACCAACTAACTTCATCATTTTCAGAAAAAAAAATTGTATTTTTTATTTGTACATTCAATTTTTCATGTTCTTTACATGTTCTTTGATTTTAGACATCTTCAGTTGTAGATTTTTGCATGCATGCCATCATATGTCATTATACATATAATACTGTATTTTATTAATGAACAGATCAAACAGATCTCTGATTCATATGTCATGTATATATACCATGATTCCACATCATAAATATCTTGCCTTCAGTAGTATTTAGAATACTAGATTATATAATTTTAGCTTATATCATATAGTGCAGTTTGGTAGGATTATTTTTATATGCTTTACAGTTATATCTGAATGGTATTAGGAGAGTTCAATAAGGTGTATAAAAAGAAATGCATAATTTCATCCTGTTTTTATTGCATGATATTAAGACTTGTTTACCTTTTTCCCCTAAAGATAAAGGATATCAAACAGTTGTTTTTAAGATATAGGTTTAGCACGCCTGTATACACATGTAATACATATACCTTAATTTTTTGCAGCTTCAAGAATTCTGACTGTTAAAGAGTAAATAGAAGATCTTGGTTTAGTCAGATTTGTACTTTTGTCAACTCGTTTAAAGTATTGTGCTTAACTACTAGTGGTTTGTATTACTTATAGTAATTATAAGATAGCAATTGTTCTGTTAGCAGAAGTTATGGCTTGTGGAAACACTTTGCTTGGAGGGCATATTTTGTTGATTAAACTTGGACATCGTGATATTAGTTGATGTACGAACCACAGCTCAGTGCATTTTAGAATTATCCGGAGATTCTGTCTGCATTGCAAGATGATTTGGACTTGAAAAAAAAAAAGAATTTATGCAAACAAGATTGGGTTATGGATATTTCTCACAAAATGGCCAGTATGGATTTGATGGGCCATTTGTAAGCCTGTATTTTGGACATGGGAAATTTATAATTGGGAAAAGGATGCGGTTTCATTTCACTTCATCAGTGAAACAATGACATAACCAAATGCCTTGGTATCATCAAATATGCTGTGGATATTTAAGGATATCTGAAGTGGATACATGGATATTTCCCAGTTAACTCAACATGCCAACAACTGGATCATAGACTCTGATGATCAGATGGATTTAACGTGGACTTCCTGCATGCTGAAGGACTTTTGGTTCACAAATTAAGTTACAGTTCCACTGTACATGTTTTTATAATACAGGCATATACCCAGGTCACTCAGGATAAAATGGGCAGCTGCTATATAAGAGTGGCAGAAAATGAGACTAGGTATGATTTATACAGTGATTTTGTGGTACAGTCATACTGTACATACTAAGGCTTTATTCTAATTAAGGAGAGTGCTACAGTAATATAATAATTTGCCTATGTTACGCAGTATGTTACACTCTTATTACCTCAAAGGTTGGAGGGAAATTTGTCCACTAATTTTGACATGTTCTAGTAAGTGGACATCAAGATTTAATACTGCGTCTAAGAGAAAGCATCTGTACCTGTTACAGAAAAGATGATAGTACAGGTTATACTGTGTGGTAGGATATTTTCAAAGTCCAACTCAAGTGGCCCTGAGCTCTCAATACAACAGGGATTGTGGTTTGACATGGTACAGATCAGCATTTGACCTCAAATTTACATGTGCTGGGTTAGCATGCTGAGAATGTTCTGATCTGTTGGTATATTTTAGATATACATGGATGACTCTAATATGGAGAATACCTGTTAATTGACTGCATATTGTTTACAGGATCTGTTTTTTTTTTTTTTTTTTTTTTTTTTTTTGCATCAAGATATATTTTGCGGCTGTCAATATGCTTTCAGTTTTTCTTTTATCAAGCATTTGGTAAGAATTTTGTTTTTAGTAAGGTGGGCTGTCATTTTGTGTTTGATATTTGCAGTTAGCATTTTGCAGTACTTTTGATTAAGCATTGCATTAAAAAACAAGCCATTGGATATTTTTGAACAAGACTGCAGTTGCAGCTTTACTCAACAATTTTGTAATTTGACTCGGTAGAGAATTTCAGCATTTTTGATTGAGTATTTTTGGCTTTTCATTAAAATCAGCTGTAGAGTGTAGTATTTTATGATTTGCATGTTTTGTTAACGAAGGGCACACACAGTACTTTATTTTTTATTATATATGGGGAAACTTTAGCATTAAAAAGTCAGTGATGGGTTGTTTGGCTTTTGTGTAAAAAAATATGTTGCACAGTGGAGTGAATAATGACAAGTTATCAAGCTGAAAGTTCTAAATCCAGGTTTTAGATATTGAAATTAAGGACTCCGAGACAAAACTGAATGTTTTGTTTGAGTTGATTGAAAATGATTTTATACATATAGGTAAACTGAAAAGCAATTTCAAGTAGAGAATTCGATTCAGTTCTCAGGTGGAATGTTCAGTTTATCCCAGATTATTGTGGGCGTTTCACGTTCAAGGGCAGCTAGGCTTTCCCTGGAAAGTTGCAGTTTCAGATTTAATTATCCTGTTATGGGTTTGTTTTATTTACAAAAATGCCTTTTAATGTCTTGCATTTTCAGCCATAATCCTCAGTTGCACATGTATTCTTTCTGCCAATTCAAGCGATAAATATTTGTGAATTATTTCACTAATATGATCACTAATTTTTTTCTGTTTTTTGTCAAATGCTGATGTTGCGTTCATGAAAAAGTAACAAAACGATCTCGTGTGAAGATTTTTAGAATTACAGAGTTGACCATCTATTGTTGAACTTCAGATATTTTGTGACAATTGTAAATAAAATTGTATATACAACTTTAAATTTCATGTTATTTCTTTCACTTTTCTGAAATCTGGGTTCACTTAATTTAGTTGATTCAACAATTTTAGTATTAGAATTTATTAGTCTTTTAGAAACCAATGGTCTCCTATTGTTTTTTTTTTAAAGAACAGCTATAAGAAAAAAATTATTGATTTCCATAAGATGCTCGGTGTACAGTGATAATTAACAAAAAATGCATATAATAATAACAAATACAATTTACCAACAAGCTGATATTTAAATATTTAATAAGATCCACTTGAAGTAATTGCAAAAAAGATAAACACTGAAAATAAATACTACCTACATAGGAAAAATAGTATACATAATTGCATGTACAAGTCAAAACTTGTTTCCAGAGAAATGACACTGAGAAGTCAAGAAAGCAAAACTTCCAATTATGAGCACAATCTAAGTAATTTTGAAACTTACGCAACTTTACAGCACTGCTTATATGTTTCCTCTAGTGAAGATTACAGGGCTTTTTTAAACAGTAATGGGATTTTTTCAAATTTCAAAAAAGATCATAGAAATCAAAGCTGTGACCACATTTGTTTGTGTCAATACACAAAAAAAATACCTTTCAAGTAAACTGGCTATATAGCGGACTTGGGAAGTACTCGTAACTGGCACGAAAATTCATGCGTTAGCACTCCTATTGACGATTCTGATATGTACTGTCTGTGCTAAGATTAATTAATAAATCAATTTTCGCGCTAACTCATAACTTGTCTTTTATCAACCCTTGACAAACTGCATTTCTTTTGTTACAGGTATAACATATTCAAGGCCTGAGAACCTTTACAAGATATAACAATTTAAGAACTAGGTAATACTATGAAAATTGAATTGAGTAATAACCCAAGCTACATTTGCTGAGGATATTAATCAGTGCACAGAGAATATTCACAAATACATAAGTTACAATACAAACTGCGTTTCACAAAGACTATGAAAAATCAATTTACAAAAGCCCTTCTGCTTCTAGATACACTAGTATTTTGTTTCTGCTCTCTCTTTCTCTCTCCCTCCTTGTATCCTCCTAGGAGCTAACACTGCTTTTTAATGGCTTTTTTCTTTTTTGTGTGCAAATTTAAATTATGTACCAACCCCATGGAGGCAAGAGCAACAACTTAAAGTGTGCAACAGGGCTAAAATAACCAGGCTTCCTTTGACTTTGTGAATTAAATAAATATTTTAATAACTTCAACCCTCAAAGTTGCAATATCTCAATAAAGATTATCATTATTATTATATTTGTGTCATATATAATAATTTTAATGACTTTCTTTTTCCTTATTTCCTCTTTTTTATATGAGCATTTACACTATATTTGTGCCATCTATCATTCCATGCAGTGGCTGATATGATGCAAAAATTCTTATATTTCATGAGGCAATATTTATAGGTTTTAATAGCTAGAAATGTTACATGCATAGTTCACCTCAATTTCTAGCGGCAATAATAAACCCTAGTATAATGGTCATTTATTCTCCATTGAAAACTCACCAGGATTTTTGAAAATTGTATTTACAAAACAACATTATCAGGCCCACCCAACTACCAGACTCGGCACATAAGGATCCTGAATTAACCGGCATATCGGACCATACTACCCGTTTTCAAGGTGTGTGTCATATCGCATTTCGGAGTATCAGTCAGAACACTGACAGGATGAGCCCGCGGTCGTCCTACAAATGACACTATGAAATTCAGGATCCTTATGTGCCGAGTCTGGTAGTTGGGTAGGCCTGATTATTTTTCACACAAAACAACCTCAAGGAAAAAGGGGAATCTACCAAAAGGCTTAGAAAAAAAATCTTCCCATTTTGACCCATAATATACTCGTACATCCCATCTCAATTCTTCTGAAAAGTCATGCTTATTCAGCCAACTTTAAGTACTCTTCATGGGTCACTTCTGAAATCCTTTTTGTATTCTTCAAACTTATTTTTCTATCTTTTACTCTTCCAATACAACATCAATTACAATAATTACCCAATCTTTTCAAAAGGAAAAATTGTGGATTAATACTATACAGATACTATATTTTTTTGATAATAAATTATTATTATAAGAATGTTCCTATTGATTACTAGCAACAAAATTAAACAGCAAGCTAATCTACAGTTCTATAGTATATGATAAAACCACTAAGGCAAATTAGAAATATAATTTAATGATTCCAAACTTATGTATCTAAAAGATTGGTAATTTTTTCCTTTGAAAAGATTGCAAGTCAATACTGTACCTAAAGCTAAACACTAACAATATTACTCATTAATCTTCCTTCCCATCAATGTTTCTTTTACTTTATCATTAATACAGCAATCCTATTTTTCTTCTTCTGCAATATATTCAGTGTTCTAAATTGGAACTGAATATCGTTTTATGTTCGTGTGCCTCTGAATACAAACATATACATATATATTTATATTCCATCCATATCTGCCTGTTCAACTTTATCAGCCTTATAAAAATTCAGCAAGTAGTACACATTTCCTATAGTACTGTAAAATCTTTGCTTAATACACCTCACCTATGTAAGCTAGCAGTGTAATCATAATATCATACATTCATTGATGATTAGTCTAAGAAAAATGTATTCTACTTGCGTGAATTTTCTTCAAAATAGCCCCATGCTTGGGATATTCTGCATTTTTTACTCCAAGCAGGAGTCGGTGCATTTTAACAAGAGGTCATTAGCAGGGTGTCAAGTTTAAAAGACTTTTAAGAAAGATGGAAAACAGGAAATACAAGAGAAAAAAAAATAATAAAAAGGAATTATTTCATTATGAAAATGGTCTCCCAAGCCTCTCAAGTCAGGCTAGTCTGCCATATGTGTCATTATTTGGTAGACTAGTTAATTACACTATATTACTGCAACAACATTTTACTGCAACACATGCTACAGCACGTTTAGGTTTTCTAGCACATTTTCCATTATATCATTTTCTCACAATCAACATTAAATGGGACAAAAAAAAAATCATTTCAAGACCACCCAAACAGAAACAAATAGGAGTTTTTCAAAGAAAATATCTAGGCATATCTCCAAAAATAGAGCGAAAACAGAAAAACTAACACCCCGCATTACTGATCCTCCTACGTGCTTTAAGTTGACTTCTTCACTGCTGTCCTTTCTTATTTCCTGTATATATACCTTCCAGATTCAGTTTCTTTGAGAGCATTCACATCGAGCAGAGCCGAGGTCTAGCAAGGCCGAGACCTAAATATGGCGGCCTAATTACAAGACCTAAATGTCATTGAGAGACCATTAAATGATTACTCGGTCTTCCTTTCATGTAGGTCCGCCATATTTAGGTCTCGGCCTTGCTAGACCTCGTCTCTTCTCGATGTGAATCCTCTCAGTGAAATATATCATTACAGACATCACTATGAAATAATAGTGGTTGAAGGCAGTGATACTTGATTCTAAGTGAATATACAGGTATACATTTAGTGATCAGGCCCCGGTTTCACAAAAAAACTTAAGTCAGGTACCCTGGTTAAAGACCTTAATTACCAAGGTTACATGATCACATGGGCAAATCTTACCCTATCAGAAGCAGGGTAACAGCATTCTCATGGAAATCCTAGTCAACTAAGCCAGGGAACTGACTTAAGTTTATTTGTGAAACTGGGACCAGGCTGTGGTGTTAGGCACCACGCCAATGTGTTCGTGCTGTGAATACTAGCACTGCTCCAGCTGGTAGGGAGGGGGGGGGCAGGAGGGGGGGGGGGGGCTCTTACCAATGAGCAAGATACCCATTTTGACTTTGAATAGCACCACGGCTGAAAAGAAATGGCTTGGAATAGGCATAGCGAGCAGATTCACAAGCCCAGCTATCAGGATTCGATGCCTTAATACTACTTGGATGTAGTATAGCAAAGAAACTTCACCCTCAAGACTGGTCACTTGTACATCATGACATCGCGGCTCTGGTAGAAGCAAAGGTAGCCGTCGCACAGCACTCTTCGCATCATGCCTGGTAGATCCTTGTCCTGCTTTATGGAATTGATGTTGTCCTGCATTTCTGGTGACAGCCACAGTGGGAGCTCTTCTACAACACGGACCTCGGGGATGTTGTACCCCGATTCTGCCCCTGTGAAGTGAAAGTGAAGTCTGTTATAGACAGTAACCAGCAGTATGACGCACAAAGTTGTGTCTGTGTGTGTGTGTGTCTGAGAGAAAGAGAGAGAGGGAGAGAGAAAGAGAGAGAGGGAGAGAGAAAGAGAGAGAGAGAGAGAAAGAGAGTTAAAGAACCTACAATGGTCTATAGCCCTTACCAATGTGTGTCATCAACTCAAAAACAGAAGAGAAAACTCTTTTTTGGAAACGTATCTTCCCTACCACATTAAAATTAAACAATCCCTCCATATAAATTCAATTTACCCATTCTATCTGCCATGGAATCAAAGAACATCCAGATAGCGTTGGGATCACATCCAGCTTTCACAAATGCCACATAATGGGAGGTCTCAATGCACAGAATGGCAAACAGCTCCATAGTTTCTCTTGGAATTGGTAGGTGTTCTGAATCTGTGGGTTTTCCTGCTCGGTTCAAGTCCTCTAAATAGTCCAAGTAGTCCTTTGAGACCTTTATCTCCTTAGGCTGGTGCTTGGACCTTTTGACATGTTTATGAGTCTGATGAAAAGATAAAGGAGAAAAATCACAATCATAAATCATTTATTATATTTATGTTATTTTTTTCGACAAATGTGCTATAGATCACAAAGTTTGTGCATTTTAAATCACTGCTTAATTATGACATTTTTGTAGATTTTATTGATTTTGCTTTTTTTTCTTCCAACTGCAATAACATTAAAAAATCTGCCTTGTCATGCATCTTACCCTGTAAATGTGACAAATGTTGGTTTTTGCGCAAAATGAACAACTACTCCTCTGAATGTTGAAAAAAAATAAAATAAAATAAAGATAATGATATACTCTGGTTTGACAGACAAAAATTACTAACTTAAAGATTACTTCACTTACCACATATTTGCAGTCTTCACAGAAGGCCAGTTTGCTGAGGCTGGTTCCAAAATGTTCGTAGCATTCCTTACACTCATACACAGCAAGTCCTCCACAGATGTTACATTCTCTTATACCTTTAAAAGTGGTTATAACAATGACTATAATATATTTAGAATAACTAGTTATAAAATTGCTCAATGTCTGATTCATATTTTCAGTTACATGTACATGGATACACTAACATCTGATTCTATGAATAATAAGTGAATGAAAGACAACTTCTTTCGTCTATCAAGGACATGCAAAACAATTTTGAAACATAAATCGTTTTGTGTCAAAATAACACACTGCATGATATGATATATGAGAAAGAGGGGCCGCTTTGGCATACTGTAGTTTGTTTAAAATAAAATAAACATTCATTTACAAAAGATCAATTACAAAAACATGCATGTCAAGGAAAACAAATATTCTGAAATAATGTGCCCTACATTTCATTAATACTAAACAGTGTTTTCAACATCTAATTTTCATCCACACATGCCTTAATAATAATAATAATAATAATATATTTATTTAAAGTCTANCGAGCAGATTCACAAGCCCAGCTATCAGGATTCGATGCCTTAATACTACTTGGATGTAGTATAGCAAAGAAACTTCACCCTCAAGACTGGTCACTTGTACATCATGACATCGCGGCTCTGGTAGAAGCAAAGGTAGCCGTCGCACAGCACTCTTCGCATCATGCCTGGTAGATCCTTGTCCTGCTTTATGGAATTGATGTTGTCCTGCATTTCTGGTGACAGCCACAGTGGGAGCTCTTCTACAACACGGACCTCGGGGATGTTGTACCCCGATTCTGCCCCTGTGAAGTGAAAGTGAAGTCTGTTATAGACAGTAACCAGCAGTATGACGCACAAAGTTGTGTCTGTGTGTGTGTGTGTCTGAGAGAAAGAGAGAGAGGGAGAGAGAAAGAGAGAGAGGGAGAGAGAAAGAGAGAGAGAGAGAGAGAGAGAGTTAAAGAACCTACAATGGTCTATAGCCATTACCAATGTGTGTCATCAACTCAAAAACAGAAGAGAAAACTCTTTTTTGGAAACGTATCTTCCCTACCACATTAAAATTAAACAATCCCTCCATATAAATTCAATTTACCCATTCTATCTGCCATGGAATCAAAGAACATCCAGATAGCGTCGGGATCACATCCAGCTTTCACAAATGCCACATAATGGGAGGTCTCAATGCACAGAATGGCAAACAGCTCCATAGTTTCTCTTGGAATTGGTAGGTGTTCTGAATCTGTGGGTTTTCCTGCTCGGTTCAAGTCCTCTAAATAGTCCAAGTAGTCCTTTGAGACCTTTATCTCCTTAGGCTGGTGCTTGGACCTTTTGACATGTTTATGAGTCTGATGAAAAGATAAAGGAGAAAAATCACAATCATAAATCATTTATTATATTTATGTTATTTTTTTTGACAAATGTGCTATAGATCACAAAGTTTGTGCATTTTAAATCACTGCTTAATTATGACATTTTTGTAGATTTTATTGATTTTGCTTTCTTCCAACTGCAAAAACATTAAAAAATCTGCCTTGTCATGCATCTTACCCTGTAAATGAGACAAATGTTGGTTTTTGCGCAAAATGAACAACTACTCCTCTGAATGTTGAAAAAAAAAAATAAAGATAATGATATACTCTGGTTTGACAGACAAAAATTACTAACTTAAAGATTACTTCACTTACCACATATTTGCAGTCTTCACAGAAGGCCAGTTTGCTGAGGCTGGTTCCAAAATGTTCATAGCATTCCTTACACTCATACACAGCAAGTCCTCCACAGATGTTACATTCTCTTATACCTTTAAAAGTGGTTATAACAATGACTATAATATACTTAGAATAACTAGTTATGGAATTGCTCAATGTCTGATTCATATTTTCAGTTACATGTATATGCAGGACACACTAACAACTGATTCTATGAATAATAAGTGAATGAAAGACAACTTCTTTTGTCTATCAAGGACATGCAAAACAATTTTTGAAACATAGATCGTTTTGTGTCAAAATAACACACTGCATGATATGATATACGAGAAAGAAGGGCCACTTTGGCATACTGTTTGTTTAAAATAAAATAAACCTTTATAAAACATCAATTACAAAAACATGCATGTCAAGGAAAACAAATTTTCTGAAATAATGTGCCCTACATTTTATTAATACTAAACAGTGTTTTCAACATCTAATTTTCATCCACACGTGCCTTCTATAAAACCTTCCACATAACTTACCATTCTCCATGATGTCAGTAATGTCCAGGTACGGTGAAGGCTGTATTCTATCATACATCTTGTAATCCTTACCAAACCTTGGCATCTGGATGATCAGACAAGCTGGGATCTAAAACAAACAACATAATAATAGCCATGTAACTTTGCCCATCGTTCTGATCAAGCCCTTCAAGAAATTATATTCCGTCAGCTCTTATGGGAACACTTACCTTAACCTGCATTAAAAAGCTTGATACTTTAAATTTGCATACTTACCTTAATCCTTGTGCACAAAAATGATCAGTTGGTTAATGACACTACCCTAAGTTTGTGGAAACAAACAAGTTTACCACTTTTGGTATATTTATTATAATGATTTAATTTCTTTTTTTTTGGGGGGGGGAGGGGGGGGAGGGGACGCATTAAGTATTGGCATTAGTAAGTGGGAGAAATTTACAACTGATCTAAGAAAAGAACAATGTTATTGTTTTTATGCTCTAAAATGACCCACGCTGTAACTTGGACCCCTCCAAAAAACAAAACAAAACAAAACAAAAAAAGCTGAAAATGCAAAAATAATTGAACAATTTTATCAGAAAAAAATTGTTTACCAATCCTGTTTACACAGATTCACCCCTCTTAAACAAACTCATAAGTTTTGCCTGGCATTACTTAAAATTTGCTGACTTACCTCAGATAATTTTCCATCCACCCAAAGAAACAACAGCTCTGCATCAGATTTCTGTGCGGTTATTAACACAGATCTCAACTGGTGCAGAGTGCTCCTCTCTGGTGCTGGAGATCATGGATTAGTTATGAATATCCCGATCTTGCCAAAGAGCAATGTATAAGTGATATATCATAAGCACAAAGCATGTGGAAGGTAAAGTTGGCTCTTATTACCTTGTCATGGCCATGCTGATTGTTGCTTCTGATAATTCAGGACTTCATGTTCACTTAAGATTCATCAGCATTGAACATTTCCAGAATGAAGCAGCGTACATGATAAATTTGACTGATCTTCCATCTTTACTTTTAACATGTCAACTTACCTTAGCTAGTTTAATATCATGGTAAATAAAAGACAGCTCTTCCTAGTTTTGTGTGATGCGTATTAAGTATCTTGTCTGTCTCAAAATTATGGCTGTTTTATCTAATCATCTTAACTAAGTTAATAAGTACGATTTCTGCAAAGTTTAGCGGGAGTGCTGAGAGAGAGATCTCTGCATTATATAATAGTACAGCAAAACTCCTCAAGGCAACTCGACTCAACTACTGGTGCTCTGATAGCAGAATAGTTCAGCTCTATCAGGTTTAGTGTAATAAGTCTTATATTAGTCTCCATTCTAATGCTGTCATACTAGTAACTTTCTCATAAATAAATAAATAAATGGATCTTGGATAGCTTGGTTCTAGGCTGAAAACTGAGCTCTGTGGAGTTGTTCAGAATGGTCTCCTCTCTTCCTTCTCAAAAGTAATATATTTTTAAAAGAGCAAACTTGCCTCTGCTTGTTTCATGCCAGACTGAAAGAACAGCTCCCACAAGTTCTGTGTAGTTTCCTTTTTATTTCATTATTATCAGTTTTTAATCTGCAAACTCACCTCTGCTATTTTGATAAACATATGCTACTGCCAAATTCAAAATTCAAGGAGTTTCTAAGATGGATCTTTTCTCTTTTTTTCTAAAACTCTATTACTTTTTAATCTTCTTACACACCTCTGCTAGTTTGATATTAGATTGAAAGAAGGACAGCTCCACCAAGTTTTGCGTGGTTGGTAACCTCAGTCTCTCGTCTCTCTCTAGAAACAGCTGGTACAGATAAGACTCCGTGCCATTGCTCAGCTTTATGAATGGATCTGCTTTCATCAAACTCAGCAAAAGGTTGAGGAATTCTTCAGGGTCTTGAATATGAATTTAAACAAATACACATTTAGGAACATGGACCTTAAAAGTAAACATATATTCCAACTTGAACAAATTTTTTCGATTTTATTTAATTTAAAGGATATCTAACAGTCTTATACATTTCTTGAAGCTTCCATCAATCAAAGTCTTCATACTATCCAAAAATAAAAGTTTACGTAAAATCACTGAAAAAAAAATCACCTGAATTTTTGATAATGTAAAGTGAAAAAAAAAAAAACAAAAAACAACAAAAAAAAACAAAAAAAAAAAACCAAAAAAAAAAAAAATAACAAAAAAAAAAAAAAAAAAAAAAAAAAAAAAAAAAAAAAAATAAAAAAAAAAAAAAAAAAAAAANGGGGGGGGGAGGGGGGATGTATTGAGTATTGGCACTGGTAAGTGGGAGAAATTAACAACTGATCTAACAAAAAAGTCCACACTGTAAATTTGACAACCCCCTCCTCAAAAAAATGCTGAAAACAAATAAATTACTAAACAAATTTTTATCAAAAAATATTTATTTACCCTTCTTGTTTACAGAGAACTGCCATAAAGAAACTTACATGTTTTGCCTAGCCTTACTTAAAATTTGCTGACTTACCTCAGATAATTTTCCATCCGCCCAAAGAAACAACAGCTCTGCATCAGATTTCTGTGCGGTTATTAACACAGGTCTCAACTGGTGCAGAGTGCTCCTCTCTGGTGCTGGAGATCATGGATTAGTTATGAATATCCCGATCTTGCCAAAGAGCAATGTATAAGTGATATATCATAAGCACAAAGCATGTGGAAGGTAAAGTTGGCTCTTAATACCTTGTCATGGCCATGCTGATTGTTGCTTCTGATAATTCAGGACTTCATGTTCACTTAAGATTCATCAGCATTGAACATTTCCAGAATGAAGCAGCGTACATGATAAATTTGACTGATCTTCCATCTTTACTTTTAACATGTCAACTTACCTTAGCTAGTTTAATATCATGGTAAATAAAAGACAGCTCTTCCTAGTTTTGTGTGATGCGTATTAAGTATCTTGTCTGTCTCAAAATTATGGCTGTTTTATCTAATCATCTTAACTAAGTTAATAAGTATGATTTCTGCAAAGTTTAGTGGGAGTGCTAAGAGAGAGGTCTCTGCATTATATAATGGTACAGCAATACTCCTCAAGGCAACTCACTTCAACTACTGGTGGTCTGACACCAAAATAGTTCAGCTCTATCAGGTTTAGTGTAATTAGTCTTATATTAGTCTCCATTCTAATGTTGTCATACCAATAACTTTCTCATAGATAAATAAATAAATGAATCTTGGATAGCTTGGTTCTAAGCTGAAAAACTGAGCTCTGCCGAGTTGCTCAGATTGGTCTCCTCTCTTCCTTCTCAAAGTAATATAATTTTAAAAGAGCAAACTTGCCTCTGCTTGTTTCATGCCAGACTGAAAGAACTGCTCCCGCAAGTTCTAATTTCCTTTTTATTTCATTATTATCAGTTTTCAATCTGCAGACTCACCTCTGCTATTTTGATAAACATATGCTACTGCCAAATTCAAAATTCAAGGAGTTTCTAAGATGGATCTTTTCTCTTTTTTTCTAAAACTCTATTCATTTTTAATCTTCTTACACACCTCTGCTAGTTTGATATTAGATTGAAAGAAGGACAGCTCCACCAAGTTTTGCGTGGTTGGCAACCTCAGTCTCTCGTCTCTCTCTAGAAACAGCTGGTACAGATAAGACTCCGTGCCATTGCTCAGCTTTATGAATGGATCTGCTTTCATCAAACTCAGCAAAAGGTTGAGGAATTCTTCAGGGTCTTGAATATGAATTTAAACAAATACACATTTAGGAACATGGACTTTAAAAGTAAACATATATTCCAACTTGAACAAATTTTTTTCGATTTTATTTAATTTAGAGGATATCTAACAGTCTTATACATTTCTTGAAGCTTCCATCAATTAAAGTCTTCATACTATCCAAAAATAAAAGTTTACGTAAAATCACTGAAAAAAAATAATCTCCTGAATTTTTGATAATGGAAAGTGAAAAAAAAAAAAAAAAGTACCCCTAAAATCAACAATTGCCAACTTGAAGTAAAAGGCAAAAAGGCAGCACAAATCATATAAAAATTTAATTCTTTCCCACCTTTTTCTTCACTCATCATTCCTTTGATGGAGCCCAGTCTGTCCAGCATTGCTCTCAGTTTCAGTATTTTGTCTGCTCGGACGTAGAAGGACCTGCAATGCATTTAATAGGATAAGAGTGCAGAGAAATCAATTTTTCTATAAATGTTTTCAATAATAATAAAAGTTAAAATGTGAATGAGCAAAAATCATCAAGGTGTTTGATTCAAATGAATTTTATTTTAGATTAAGCTCCCTACCAGTTACTGCTCGGATCATCTATATCTGAATGGGGCCAATGAGAGCTAGCACCCATCAACACATCACTCAACAGGGCCATTGCCCTAAACACTTACTGCCTCAGAGGGTTGACAATTCCTTCCCTGATCACAGTCTGAAGCTCCTGGTAATCCGAGATGTCCCCTCCGTTCCTGGGACGAAACAGTAACTCGTCAAAAACAAAGGAGAAGGAGAACATGGAGAAGAGCGTGGAGTCCAGATAACAGGAATTGTGGTGCCCCTGGATTCCCTTACGTTTCCCCGTATATTTCTCTACCTCGTGGCTGACCTGCTCAGGGGGCGGTATTTTTCCTGGGATGTCTGGGCTTTCTTCACTACCGAATGCTGGGAGGTAAAAAGATGATTGTGAAAATAAAATAAATGTTATAGCTGATTTTAGAAATTTCAGTTTGAAATGAGGGAAATAATAATTGGTGCTTTGCATATTCCTTTGAAATACTTGGTTTTAATGAAAAAGAAATTCCCCAAATTCATGCTAATGTTTTTAAATCAAAATTCATTCATTAACTTGGAAACCTCAGATATTTGCAACTTCCCTGTGCATAAGCCTTAAAAATTGACTTGATAAATAAAATATTTTCTTTAAAAAATTGCATCTTACTCTGACTATGACTTCTGTCCACAAGTTTAGAGCTTTCAGCAAATCTCTGGTCCTTCCTGCACTTGGTTAGATATGTGAAGAAAGCTTTCTTTGGCTGACAAGTGAACAGTCGTCTTTTACCAAATACACCATCAGTGCAGGCCGGTCCTTCCTCTTCCTGGAAGATAAGTTAGAGCGCATTCAGAACCGCAGACTAACAGATCTGTGGATCAAATATGGCAACCCACTAAACAGCTTGTCGCTAAATTCCCGTTTGGACATTAAGTAGATTATGCAACAAGCATTCAAGTGGGTTGGCCATATTTGATCCATGAATCTGTTAGTCCGCTGTTCTGAATGTGCTCTTAGAATATCTGTCATGGTCTAACACACACAATATATTAGTGTAATATTTATTTTTATATGAAAGAAACCCCAAATGTTTAGGGCCATTAAAAGCAATAATTAAACACACACACACAATATATTAAACATAATAATAATAATAATAATAATAAAGTGACATATGAAGCTATTTCAAAAACATTATACTTGGGGCAATAAGCAAAAACATCTATATGCTAGTATGAGTCCAGAAATAATTGCAAAAACAGCATGCTCACTTACCATTTCAATTCCGGCGATTAATTTGGTGGGGTCTTTGGCTTCGGGAATGGTCCCTATCCATCGAATGACTCCATACTGCGGAGGGTTTCCTAAAACTTCGACGACGGAGCCGACACTCAGCTCCTTCCAGCCGTCACTTCCACCGCTACTCCCTGTCCCAGGTACGGAGCTTGTACTGGTGACCAACCTGTGGACTGGCCCGTATTTAGAATTTCCTTGTGGAAAAGAAGAGCTCTGCAGAAAAGGAAAAAAAAACAATTTGATAACGCTTCAAAAATTTTGAACATCCTAATAACATTAAAATCTTCTCTATTTCTATCTAATTTTTTAAAAAACTTTTGACTACTCAACATTTATGGTTACTTTTTCATCTCCATTCAAAAAGTGCTTACCTGTGTATGTGACAACCCCCTTTGTGGTCTTGTTTGAGGAGCATGGCAAACAGTGTCTGGTGGCCCCTTAATACCACTCATAGAGCTCACTGGTTTGGGTGAAACATCTGGAGCTGAAAGTAATAAAAACAATTTTTAGCCTGTTAATTAACATTTTGTTTTGTTTTTTTATATATATATAGTGTTTAGAGCCAATAATGCTGCTGTTGCAACACCATCTTTGTTGGTCACATATTTGCAAGCTTATGATTTTATAATTCTTTAAATATTTTAAACCGTTTATAATGAAATGCCTATATAACTTATCCAAAAGCCATTTAAATTTATGTTCAATTTTAATTTTACCTCCTATATACACCCTCATATTCGACTCTGGTCCAAACTATTTTTGTAAATATTTTCTGACAACATTCAGTGATATACCATAAGCTTTAAACATTAGCACAGAAGTATTCTTTACTTCAGATCTGTGATATTAGCACGAGTATGGCAGAGCTAAAGATTTTATATACAGAGTAAAAATCCTTTTAATCTAAAAATATTCCCTCTCTGATTTGAAGTACAGGTAGAACCAGTAAAATTTATAAAGATAAAAGTTATAGTAATATTGTATAATAACAATGTGATGTAAGCAGATTAAGTGTAATTGTTGAGGAACTTCCTGCTTACATACTCAAAGGCCAATAATTTGCAAATGAAGCAATAAAATCTATCAATTTTATATTTGACTGTATCAAACCTTTCACAATATGTATTGATTGGGACTAAGATTAACATTCAATATCAATACCAAAAAATTCCCAAAGTTTCCCGTAAAAAATCACATTAAATTCCAATGTGTAGTTCATCCAGATATAATATTGCTTAGAAACTGGGAATAATTGTGAAAACCCAAGCCTGAGAAGAAAAAATCCAACAAATAAATATACAGAACATTGTGTAATTTTTTTTTTTCAAATCATAAATTTATCGCTTTTCATTTTGTTATCTGGAGTTTGAAGTTTGCAAACTTACAGGCATGGTTTATGTGGTGATTTATAAAAATTAATAGACAGTTCAGAAATTTTCTAAGATCAAAACAAGTCAGAAATAAAGTTTTGTTTATACGCCTTAACATATAATGAAGTATATTGCTGTGCTCCTTAATATGTTCTTTTTTGTCCATTTATCTACAAGATAAATAGTTTTGAACTACTTTTCATTCACAGTTAGTGACCCATGAAAAAAAGTGAAAAGGGTGTTTGTGACTGCATTTCTTTTAATCCTATATGCCACATCGATGTTTCACATATTTGATCAATATATGTTATGCCTTGTTTTCTTCTAATCTGAAACTTGTTTCAAATTTTAAACCATTTTCTAAATATACAAAATATCAAGCATATATCTGTTTACACTAAGTGTGCGTAACGGTAGATAAGAGAGCCAGCAAAAATGAAAGAATGTTCTACTTAAATTCATCTAATTTATGCAAATTATAAGCTAAAATTTATTAAGAGCAAGTTAAATTATTTGCAAAGCAATTATTTGCAAATCGGAAAAAAAATGACATAATAATTCAGACTAGGAATTATCCTGTCAGCGGTAAAATCCAAAATAGTCAGTAAACTTCAAATGACATAATAGCTAAAATTAGATGGGGATTCCCCTACTGTTTCCAAAGCAAAGGTCAAAAAGGAGATGAATTTAGCAAGGGTTAATGGATTTTTTTAGAAACTCCTGCTTATTTTTGATTGATTAATTATTGAAATCTCACAAAACAGTGAGCATAGCAGACATATCTGACAGTATAATCCATTATTTTTATTATTGTTATTATTATAGCGGTGACATATAATGATCACCTGAGTGCTTGACAAAGTGTCATGTGACATTTTCAGACCCAAATATAGCAATAAATGAATCAATATCAGCCGACAGCGTGACAAAAGTGAGGACAGCGGAACTTTTGAGATGCCACATGCATTAATCTTGATAACATTTTATTTTAAAACATCCTGGATGTTGTGAAAATAAGTAGGCTAAAGTTTTCCTTTGTTTATGTAGCCTTTAGCTAGGTATTTGCAGAAAGCTATGCGTAAGGTCTTGCAGTATTTCTTTCACTTTTCAATTGGCAACAATAGTCAAGTGTTTACTTAACTGAAACTGAAAGTTACTTTAAAGATACATATGAAGCAAGAGTGAATGCCCCATAACATACATAAATTATTAGTACTGGTTTCTTATACATCACAACTAAAATCCACACGCCATAACCCAGCTGAAATTTATCCCGTGGGAAGCGTAAAAGGACTTAAAACAGTACCTTCTTCACAGTTCTGTTCACAAGTTAGACATATTTTTCCCGCAAGCCAAAAGGCACAGAAAGTAGGCAGAAAAAATCTTTGCAATAATGCAAATATAATTTTTTTTGGAAAATAAAGTAATAAAATTAATTCTGTGGTATTTCTTAAAGTTACACTATTCAAAAGACCATGGCGGTATTTGTCAGGGTTTATTAGCAAAGTTTTGTCACAAACACTTGCCTAATTATTATGCATCTTTAACCATATGTAGAGAGTTTAATTCTATAGCAAATGTTGAATCTCTACAGTACAAGAGGGTTATTTGTAGGCATGCTGCCCGGATACTTAAATGAATCTGGATTGAAGGAAAGTAAGTGCAACTTCTGATGAATTGGGAGAAAAGAAAAATTTTGTAAACACTTTATAAATATATTTTTTCTCAAGAATCTCTTGGAGGGGAGGAAGCAACTGCCCAGTTTATAGTCCATCTTTATGGCCTTACAAATATTATCAGCACCTTTTAGGCTTTTATACATCACTTGGAGGCAAATAAAAACCAAAATATACCCCACATGTACATACCGAAGAACTCATACATAGGGTTATGAGGCGATGTTCGTCCGGCTTCATGACTGCCAACATTACCATCAGGATGTAAAGATTTGGAGCCAGACATGGGGAGAGTTCCTCTACGAACAGTTGGCTTGTTCAGATCATTTTCCTGTGTTGCCCCTGATGACTTTTTTCTTCTTGCTTCTTCTAACAGACGCTCTTGTTCTTTATACAAAGCTGTTGTATTTTTTTTCTTTATGTCATCATAGTAACCACCTGTTGCCCCATATGAGTTAGGGTCTGAAATGGAAGAATGTTGTACTAGCACTTTATTTCTTGTTTTACTATGTATATATTTTATTATTCTTAATCATTTTATCAAAAATATGGTTCATGTGCAATTTATTTCAATAATATGGGATAGGCAAGACAAGTGGGCAAAGTATCCTTTTTGAACAATAAATATTTTGAATTCAAATAACTTTTATTGGTTTTTGAAAAAAAAAAAAAGATTTACTGCTCTTTTCTTCAATTTAAAACTATATATCATGTACTAGACAGAATAACTAAAAGATATGACTGTGTAAACTCTCATGACTACTTTTCTCCAAGCGTATTAGTCATTTTATATTTGAAATTATTACTTTACGCTCAATATTAAAACAAAGAGAGCAGTGCATGTCAAAGTTGTGGAATATTTTCACCTACCTGCTTCTCCATATTCATCAGCCTTAATTAAACCCAAAACTGGTATTAAAGAGGCATGGCCATGGGGCGTTCTGAATAATTGTTTATCTTTATATTTTCCTGTTCCTGTACCAACTGGATTATCCTGAAAGAGGGTTATTTAACATTAATTATAAAACTGGAAAAATAATGGTAGTTTATTAAAATGCTGTATGAATATAAATTCTCACAGGCGATGTTTTATAAATTAAATTTTGTACAGCATATCATTTTCAGTTCATCACTTTTTGTTTTATTTTTCACCCAATTTGCATCAGCTCAACTTATTATCTACTATGCTTAAGTTTGTTAATTTTCTTGAAAGAAAGAAATCCTTCTTTTCTTTCCATTTTCTTTTTGGGAAGTTGTGATAATAAGATACATTTATCACTTCTCTTTTCACATAACATGGTATGGTAATACTTGAAAATTTCGGCACTTAAAAATTAATCCATAATTATTTCAAAATGCATGAATCCTACGCGGCCATATTAGTTGACAAACTTTTCAAAATTCTCAAGATCCCATTTTCATGTGTGACAAAATTTTCAAAGTGAAAAAAAAGTTATTTCGACGGGGAATAGTCTTCCAACAAAATTTTCAAGATTGACTAAATTTCAAGTTTTAACCATACAATTTTCTGTTTTGTACCAGTTGTCTGGTTCTCAACTTGATTGTACTCCTCACAAAAAACTCAATGTACAAATCTGCCCTTTTAATATAGCACAGGTGCTGAGCTTAAGCCTATGTTTAAATTTTAGTGTGCAGCAACTGGCTCACCAGATGTCACTGTATTCAAGAGAATATCTGTACATTTCATCTTGAATTGAGGTAGACCTAAAGTCTAAAGCACCCCGCACATGATGAGCAATTGGCGCGTGCCACTTGCGCTGCGCCAGATGCTCGCACTCCTCAGCTCCCCGCAAACGATGCGCTCTTTGCTCAGCAGAGATGCCTCCCAGCCTGCCCCTATCGGACGCACCGCGAACTGTGGGATCATGTGATTAAGGAAACATTACATATTTATTTTTTTTCTGAAAGTAATGGCAAATGGTGACCACGTTAATCAATCAGACTAACTATAACTGTGTACATTTTTGTTTACTTCGCTGGGGGCTGCCATTTTTCTTTGTTTCCGGCTACCGGCACATGCGCATTGTTGGCATGGCGTGAGCATTCGGCGCTTACACCCCGCACACGCTGAGACATTTGCCTCAAGAGACCAAAAAAATCAAACACGTGAGAAATTTTGCTCAGCCGCATGAGAGGCAAAAATCTCACCAAAATACCCCCGCACACGATGAGAAAACGGCGCAGCGCAAGTGGCGCGCGCCAAATGCTCACCGTGTGCGGGCCCCTTAAAGGGTTAAGACTACTCAAACAGCAGGCAGTGACTGATTGTACCAAAAAGAGTCAACCTACATTCTACGAAAATACACCCTGGAATTTTGCTGCAGTGGCAGTTTTTCCACAATCTTACTAGGGAAGTGTAGTTTCGAGATTTACAGCAGACCAGATGTCACTCTTCCACAGCCAGAATTTAACTTACAAAATGCACTCCGACAGTATACTCTCCATCTTTTGAGTCTTCTAGCACACCTATCCATTTGACCGACCCCCATTGAGGGCCATCGTCTGACATCCACACAACTCGATCCTCAATTTTCAGTTGTGGGGGTGGAGAGTAAACTTTGGCACCTATTTGATCCGCTGGTCTTCGTAGTGCATTTTCAATTGCTTGTTTACTGGTACATAGTCTGACTTTACTTATGTTCACAAAGAGGGCACAGTCAGGGGGACAATCAAAGAATTTTTTTCTTCTGAATTCTCCATCTGAAGTTCCTTTGCCCCTTGCTGAAAAGGACTACAAAAAAAAGAAAAATTTCAAAAAAGAAATTATGATTATTCAACCTTTGCTTGAAAATCACATTATCATGAGAAAGTCAATGCAAATAAAAACAGTTGTTCTGCTCAATAGAACTATACCAGTGTGTAAAATGTAAGTTGCTTTTTTTTTTTCAGAACGTGTAGCCTCTAGAACTTCTTCAGTACTTATGATATCCTAATAAAGTTTCTCATACTTTGAAAATTATCTCATTTGTCATTTGTCATACAAACTCACTTTGATTTCTATCCCAAACCAGAGTCCTTTTTGGGCAGGCAATTCGCCCTTGTAACGCACCAGGCCTATGGTCCCATCAGCCATACCGGGTTGTTTTATAATAAAGACATAGGAATTAACTTTTATTTGAACGCCTTCTTGTAACCAGTTATTTTTATCCTCAAAGACAATCAACCTGTCCTTGCATGTTGTAATTGCTAGTAACAGTTCCATTTCTTCAAATCCTATTTGTGAGATATCTGACAAGGAAATATTGACCAGATAGACATCTGGGAATTCAACAGATATCAGGGTGATAGTTTTCTTGTGCTTGCTAAGCACATATTCCTTCCAGAGGCTCCCTTTGAGTACTTTTTCATTCTTATTTTTAGAAACATGTTCAATTTTTACATCCTGAGAAGGAGGGCTCCCCATACTAATTGCTGTAGAGTCAGTTAACAAAATATAGAGTACACTGCCTTTCTCCATGTTCAGTGAGTTGTACATTACCTGCTGTTAGATTTTTGTATAGAAATAAATACTGTAATTAGTTTTTCTTTGTCACCAATGTAAAGATGTCCTTGTATATCTTCCCCTTAACTTCTTGGTTGTAATTAGAAAACAATCATGTATTCTTGTCTTAATTATTCCACATCAGCAGCATCTGTCTACATGGCTTGGTGGAAAGTTACTTCTCCTACAAGGCAATTATAAGTGANATGCACCCTGGAATTTTGCTGCAGTGGCAGTCTTTCTTCACTCTTACTAGGGGAAGTACAGTTTCAAGATTTCGAGCAGATGTCACTTTTCCACAGCCAGAATTCAACTTACAAAATGCACTCCGACAGTATACTCTCCATCTTTTGAGTCTTCTAGCACACCTATCCATTTGACCGACCCCCACTGAGGGCCATCGTCTGACATCCACACAACTCGATCCTCAATTTTCAGTTGTGGGGGTGGAGAGTAAACTTTGGCACCTATTTGATCCGCTGGTCTTCGTAGTGCATTCTCAATTGCTTGTTTACTGGTACATAGTCTGACTTTACTTATGTTCACAAAGAGGGCACAGTCAGGGGGACAATCAAAGAATTTTTTTCTTCTGAATTCTCCATCTGAAGTTCCTTTGCCCCTTGCTGAAAAGGACTAAAAAAGAGAAAAATTTCAAAAAAAAAAAATTATGATTATTCAACCTTTGCTTGAAAATCACATTATCATGAGAAAGTCAATGCAAATAAAAACAGTTGTTCTGCTCAATAGAACTATACTAGTGTGTAAAATGTAAGTTAATTGCTTTTTTTTTCAGCATGTGTAGCCTCTAGAACTTCTACAGTACTTAATATATCCTAACCAAGTTTCTCATACTTAAAAAAATATCTCAAAAATGTTCATTTGGCATACACTCACTTTGATTTCTATCCCAAACCAGACTCCTTTTTGGGCGGGCAATTCGCCCTTGTAACGCACCAGGCCTATGGTCCCATCAGCCATACCTGGTTGTTTTATAATGAAGACATAGGAATTAACTTTTATTTGAACGCCTTCTTGTAACCAGTTATTTTTATCCTCAAACACGATCAACCTGTCCTTGCATGTTGTAATTGCTAGTAACAGTTCCATTTCTTCAAATCCTATTTGTGAGATATCTGACATGGAAATATTGACTAGATAGACATCTCGAAATTCAACAGATGTCAGGGTGATAGTTTTTTTGTGCTTGCCAAGTGCACATTCGGTCCAGAGGCTTCCTTTGAGTACTGTCTCATTCTTCTTCTTAGAAACTTGCTCTATTTTTAAATCCTGTGATGGAGGGCTCTCCGTACTAATTGCTGTAGTTTCTTTCAACAATATAAAGTATCTAATGAATTTCTCCATATTGTTTAGTTGTACAATTATATAGGTGCTTTGTGCTTCCTGAATATCAATAATCAGTGAAATAGGTGTTTGTCACCATGTTAAGATATCTTCCCTCAAGCTCCTGGGTTGTGGATGTATTTAGAAAACAAAACAATTAGTTCTGTCTGCCTCCTTCTTAAACTCAGAAGAGAAGATAAGTCTATGGCTTGGTTCACAGTCACTTCTCATAAAGGGATACTGAAATTAAACAACAGGATGTCATTTAACTTTGGTGTTTACTGAAACCCTAAATGTACCGAAAAGTCTCTATGCCAACTGATAAACTATGTAAGATTCTAAACGGATGTCCTACATTTTATCACAGATATTGAATAATGTAGAATAAATGTATTATGCATAAAATCGAAATATGTTGAGCAATATGTATAAGAAGAAGGAAGCGGGGTGACTAGCATCCGTGTACATGTACGCATCGCCACGTTAATATTTTATGAACTCATTTACTAATCTTACCTGGAAACGACATTAAAAATGTAAGCAACATTATAAAAAACAATTATTGTTCAACAAATTTAAAGTTGTAGTCAGTTCCACACCTACTCAATATATTCTAAATATAGCGCAGTCAAAACCTTCGTGCTGATGCCTCCTCAGTGACGCACAGAAACAAAAATTTTGAGGGGATTCCCCCACTCCTGTTGCTCTAGCATAGCACACATACCATCCTCCAACGGTCCCATCCTCCAATAAATAGAGAGCAGACACTTGAGTGAGAACGAGGCCATTAGCTCGACTTAAGAAGTTCATTACGACCGCTGTTCATGTTATACAAAAAGTAGGCTTTTTAGAGCGTTATTGTAAATCTAAGATTATGTGCGAACGATAGAAAGGTAGACGTCCGTTAGTGAAACATTTTAATCCATACAATGGAGTTTGAAGAACGTGAGCTTGAACGTAAGTCGGTGACAAGAGCCCATTTTGCCTCCGTTTTCGGCCTTACAAGCTCACTGTACCCTTACCAGCTTGTAAGGCCGAAAACTGAGGGAGGCAAGAGCCCATTATACTATAATTCAGTAATAATTTACAGCAATATGTTTCAATATAATATTACTATTGGGAATTTGTCAGTGATTATTTACGTTAAAAGAATAACTACTTAATTTATATATATATGTAAATAAAAAACTAAGTCCAATCTTAATTTGAGCAAACGCTCAAGGTGATATTTCTCTGATTCTGTTGTGGACTGTTGTAACTAATAGTTATTATGCTTCCAAAAGACTTAATTCATTAGTTGGATATATATATATATATTTATCACTGTGACAATATGAGTGTGTATGGGCGGCCAAAAGGGCAAAAATTCATGTCGTCGATTCAGTTATGTTTCGTCGACTCACTGCCTTCCCATCGATTCAGTTTCAAGTTTAAACGATCCTGTCATAAATTCAACATCTACTTTCGTCAATTCAATTGTCAAACATTTCTCATCTAGGTGTATTAAAACCAATGCTGTCACTATTTTCGTCGATCGTGTAACTAATCTCGTCGATCGTCAAACTGTTTTCGTCGATCGTGTAACTATTCTCGTCGATCGTCTAATCTCGTCGATCGTGTAACTATTCTCATCGATCGTCTCATCGATCGATCGCCAGAGGGCGCTGCGGTAGCAACACGTGCTTCTGTCTGTCAATCACGCGGTAATTTTTAACTCGGCCAGCCATGGTCAGAGTTAAGCACAACTAGAAAATAATGTCCCTACAACCGAATATCTTTTAATTATTAACAACTAAAATTGAAATTGTTGAGAAAATGTTCTTATTTCACTAGCAATCATTTTGTTGTCTGCCATTTTGATAGTCATGTGATAGGCCAATGTGCTACCGCAGCGCCCTCTGGCGATCGATCGATGAGACGATCGACGAGAATAGACGATCGATGAGAATAGTTACACGATCGACGAGATTAGACGATCGATGAGAATAGTTACACGATCGACGAGATTAGTTGGACGATCGACGAGATTAGACGATCGACGAGAATAGTTACACGATCGACGAAAATAGTGACAGCATTGGTTTTAATACACCGTAGATGAGAAATGTTTGACAGTTGAATTGACGAAAGTAGATGTTGAATTTATGATAGGATCGTTTAAACTTGAAACTGAATCGATGGGAAGGCAATGAATCGACGAAACATAACTGAATCGACGACATGATTTTTTGCCCTTTTGGCCGCCCATAAGTGTGAATCGAGGAAAATTTATTTTGTTTGACATTTGCAACTCCATAAGTCGACTGTTCAGAAATGTATGTTTGTTGTTCAATGCTTGTTAAAGGATTGGAGAAGGAGAAGAAGAAGGCTCAGAGAAAGAACAACCTGAAGGAGGTAGCACAGCTGTGCAATGTCATAGGAGAACTCAAAGCTAAATTTGGTAAGAATGGATCTTAATTTACTTGGTATTGCATAAATATACTGAAGCACACTTTTACTGTTCAAAACTTTCAGAGTTAGTCATTTAATAAGCCGTTGGACAGAATTTTAACATCCTTATGGAAGGTAAAATGTATCATTGCTTCCAAATGGATGCAATTGCTGAAAATGCTCATTTCATTTGTAAACTGATTGATATCATAATGAATTTCAGGCCGATTTGAAGATGCCATTGAAGACCACCAGATGGAGCTGCATCTGAGTGAGGCACTGGATGATAGCATGGGAACAGCCATAGCTAATAGGAAGATAGGTCAGACATTTCACCATCATGGATGCTTTATGTCAGAAAATTTTGTCTAAATAGATGGCTTTATGTTGTAATACATTCTCTCTCTCTCTCTCTCTCTCTCTCTCTCTCTCTCTCTCTCTCTCTCTCTCTCTTTTGGATAATATATTCTTAGTAATATATTCTCTACATAGGAGAGTGTTACTGTGAGCTTGGAAAGTTTGACCTGGCGTTGAAGCACCAGCATCGCCATTTAGAGTTAGCAGAGAGCGAACACAGTGACATAGAACAACAGCGGGCGTGGGCTACCATAGGGCGCACCTATCTTTATCAGGCCGAGGCAATCAAGACACCAGGGGGAGCTGAGGCAGTGCTGCGCAAGGGCGAGGATGCTTTCATGAAAAGCTTAGAAGTTTGCGAGAGGCTGAAGAGGTCAATCAAGAATGAAGAGTATATGGAGATGAAGGCTAGGCTGTTCTTAAACTTAGGTAATTCTTTCAGGACCAAAGAGTGTATTCAAATTGAAAGTTTTCAGTCTTTGGTTTATGGGAAATTCTGATCCTCTGGAATCAACAAACTGGATGCAACATTATGGTGTTTTATGAGCATTGTTTTGAAGTAAATTGATATCAGCAATGCATGTGTACAGTATTTTGTACTTGATCTAAACACTGGCATTTTTGGTGTTTTAGTGTAATTATGAAGAGTTAGTTTTATTATCCTTCACAGATACAGATAAGATTTGCCAGTGAATCTTTAACCATGTTTACATTAGGACTATCTTCATCAAAAGTATCTCATAATTAAGTGGACCACTTTTTACACTTATTTATTTGTATTTTCCTTCCTTAAATAATGTGTTTCTTCTATTTGCCAGGTTTGGTATATGACAACAAGAGGGATGAAAAGCAGTGCACTGAATACATGAAACGTGCTATCATGATTGCAGAGTAAGTGTTACGGAGTAAACAGTGTGGCAATACAGGGGCGGATGCAGAGCTATTTTCTGACAGTCTTCCAAATTATCTTTATTGATTTATCCTCCAATTTTGACCGTCTTCCAACAGAAAAAATTAGATACCTTTTAATGTAAACTTGAAAATCTGACCGTCTTCTTGAAGACCCAGAAGACGGCCTAAATCCGCCCCTGCAAAATATATTAAAAAAGTAAGTGGTGGTTTATATAAGCAAATGTGAATCTGCCACTTGATAGATTCTGCTGCCACCTGGTGTCCACACATGGTTATCTATACAAAAAACGTATTGAAAACAGTTATAATTGTCAAGAGACCAGTTATAACTACCTGAAACTTGATCCAGTGGAAGCCAATCAAATATTTATGCATTCAGTATATATGATCTATATAAGGAATTATTTGGTTCCATAGTGCTTTGAAAAAGGACAACCACTCTTCTCCCCCCTCCCCCCACCCACCCACCCACCCACCCACAAAAAAATAACAAAAAAACATAAGATAGTGCATCACCACATCAAGAACAAAATAATAAAGGATCTCTTAAGAGAAATCTTGAATAGGAAAAAATATTGAATTGCATGTTGAATCATAATTTTTAGGAAGCACAATCTGGCAGAAGATCTGTACAGGTGTCAGTTCTGCCTGTCTGGTATCTACCAGAGGAATGGGAAACCAAGCCAAGCTCTCAGGTTCTTAGAGGAAGCTCTGAAATGTGCACGGAAGATGAAAGACAAGGTGCTGGAGAGTGAGGTGCTGGTCAGCAAGGCACAGGTAAGGCTGAAGATTGAGGGATGCATTTTGGGATTTGTGATGTTTTAAATCTTCCAATTTTTTAGGTAAAATTGTTTCTATTGACAGAAAGTATGTAATTCTTGTGTAGAGTTGAGGAATGGGCGTAGTACGTAAATCTTGTGTCAAGTCAACTTGTGGATGTCACTCAGCTGTCATGAACACTTATCAATCCGTGCCATTTCTATGTCAAAGTAACTGAAAATGATAGAAAAGGGGTGTGAGAATTTGCAGGTTTTTACTGTATTTCAGCAAGTTTCAACTAGTGTTGACAGAAGCAATAATTCCATGGTTAATGGCAAAATTTTACCATAAAATGAAACAGCTTTGATTTTCATTGTTATTACTGGGTGTTTTAAAGAAGAACTCTTCTGAAAAAAAAAAACTTTTCCAGGTGTTCACCCTGCTGGGAGATTTCCCTGCAGCCAAGAGGTGTGTCAGGAAAGCATACAAGATAGGGTCACCCATAGAGGAGGAAAAACTGAAGATGAAGAAACACCTGATTTCAGGTTGGTCATTGTGATCAAATGTTTGAACAATACTAAAAGGGTTGTAATATTTAAAAAAAGAAAACAATTTGACTTACGGAGTAGTTACATTCTTATTAAGCAAAGCAAGGCTAACTTTATTTATCCTCCCTAAAAGTAAAATCCTGGGATATATCATGAGTAGTACACGCGTTACATTTAATTTAATGCAGTTAATTTGTTTAATTCTCCACAAATTCCTGACATCTCACCCTGTCTCATTTCAGTTCTCTCTCTCTCTC